CATCTTCTTCGTTCTAAAAATGACATTAAATAACCTAGTGAGCCACTCCAAGCCTGCCTTGTCCGCACTCTTCCAAAACTCCACTGGGATTTGATCCGCCCCGATCGCTTTGCCCCTACTTATCTTACGCATAGCCCCCTCAACTTCATCAAATCTAATCCGGCTATAATACCCAAAGTCCCAACGACTCCCGGAGAGTTCCAAATCACCCAGAACAATGCTCCTGTCCCCCTCCTCGTTCAAGAGACTATGGAAGTAGGTTTGCCATCTCCGACGGATAAGCCCCTCATCTAACAAAACTCTACCTTCTTCGTCCTTGATGCACTTCACTTGGTCCAAGTCACTCGCCTTTCTTTCTCACGCCTTGGCTAACCTGAACAACCTCTTATCCCTACCTCGGCCCTCGAGTTCCTCATACAAACGACTAAAAGCTATATTTTTTGCCGCCGTAACTGCTAGTTTTGCCTCTTTCTTAGCCAACTTATAATGCTCCCTATTCGCCCTCTTCTCCTCCTCGTCTATACTTTCCACTAGCTTAAGATACAATGCTTTCTTGGTTTCCACTTTACCTTGCACTTCTCCATTCCACCACCAGTCTCCCTTATGACCACCAGAGTAACCCTTTGAGACCCCTAATACCTCACCCGCGGCTTCCCTAATGCACTGTGCAGCCGTGGTCCACATTGCGCTTGCATCCCCACTACTCCTCCAAGCCCCCATAGTCACCAGCTTGACCCCCAACTCCTGCACTTTAGCTTCCGTCAAGGCTCCCCACTTAATCTTATGTTGGCTATACATCGCCCTCTTCCTCCTCTTCCTCATGATCTCAAGGTCCATGATCAGGAGCCTATGAAAGGTAGAGAGGTTCTCACTCGGGATGACCTTGGAATTCGTGCAAATACCTCTATCGGACTTTGGTAAAATGAAAAATTTAAAGTTGAATTGTTTCCAAATATAGAAATATATCATTCTTTTTGGACTAATAAGAAAAGTGTGTCATTTAAATTGAAACGAAAAGGTTATATTGCAAATTCTTGTAGAGGGAAAATAAAGGAAGAACGTTTTGTACTAGTCCTGAAAAGATTACACTTCCATGTTGCTTCTTTTTTGCTGCTTCTCTCAGAGAATACACCATTTCCTACCGTTTGTTGCCAATTTTGGAAAACAAACAGATAGGCCATCTTGGTTTCAAATTGGTCACAACTAGAGTGAGTAACCATATATATGTCTGATTGATATTGAGAGAGAAGGAAATAAAAGAAGCTATAATGGTAATAGGTTTCCAGATTACAATGAACGGAAACTACGGAATCAATAAGCAAGAAATGTTGCCTATAAGTCAGTAGTTCGTATAACTTGTTCACCATCACAAGAAAAAATATAACAGGGATAAAGGATTTCGTTGTCACAGATAGGATAAAAATATTGCACCCTCAATTAGCAGTTTCACATTAATGGAGAGCAAAACAAAAGAACATCATAAGTCCATTGCAGCATAGTGGAACTCTTGAAGCCAATTTTTTGTTTTTTGAACAAAAGGTACTATGCAACTCAAAATAACTTACACTCTGCAGTAGAACATTAGAACCTAAAAAAACCTGTAGTTGCTTGAGAATTGAATAGGGAGGGGGGGAGGGAGAGCTTCTGATTTTGTATGAGACTACAATCTGCAAACAAAATCTGCTCCCTCTAAACCCTAAACTTGCAAGAATAACAAACTAGACAAGCCAAGATAAACGAGCAACTGCAGCTGTTCAGTAGGGTGCATATACTTTGCTCAAACTAGAGAACCTATAGAGACTCTTCATCATCTTCCAAGGCACTGTAGATCAGCCTGCAGAAAGAACACATGGACTCGGTCAAAAAGTGTCTTATTTATAAGAATCTCTGTAAAAAAGAGCTACTTAATTACTTACCAAAATAATGATATGAAGAGGAGAAGGACGATATAGCCTAGTTTGAAAAGCCTCTGTTTCTTTTCCCAATCAAGCTGATTAAAAATCTCAGTCACATCAACAAGATGCTGCCTTCTCGTGTACCTAGAGCACGAAGCAACTATGAGAAATTTTGTTTGAGGAAACACATCAGCAAAATTGGAGAGGTTTGATATCTAATTAAATCTCAATCACTGAATCAAGCACTAACAAGTTCACGCGGCATTTTGAATGCATTTGAAAAGAAGGTAATGGAAGGATAAAAAAGGACTGCTTCAGTTTCAACTAGGACACAATGCAGATCCTTTAACCACTTAGTACTGGTAATACCAATATTATTTAGCAAACAAGTACCAGCTTTCCAGTGAACAATCATTGTTTTACCAAGCAACGATTTAAGCCAGCTAAGACTATCTTTCTGATCCACCCTAACAAAACTTCAATATAGCCTTTCCTCTAGTTTCAGATGGCAAGATGCCCCATGGACTTCCTTTCATCATTAAGTTGAAAACTATAACAAAAGATATACTGGCAATATTTTCAGTGATTTTACCATTTCTTTGGTCAATTTGTAAAAGGCTCAATGGAAACCTTTTTTTCCAGAGGGATAAATAAGGAAAAGAATTATTAAATTAAAAAAAAAACCATCCATGCACTGGAAAACTTACTGGTATTATCTCTGAATTAATCTATTAGGTGATATCAATAAAAACCCTCCATTTTCAGTAGACAACAAACAAATACATCTCAATGGCAAACAAACTTGGGTTGGCTATATGACTTCTCTATATCCATTTCCCCTATTTGGGTCCATATCATTTCAATACACAGTAATTTTCGAACAAGGTTTTCCAGACCACACCTATCCCAGCATTGACAACAATTAACCAAACTAATAAAACTTCTGCTAATACCAGACCTAATGCAAGTGTATCAACAACGACTAAGCCTTAACCTAAAAGAGTTGATATCACCTATATAGATCCTTCGTTTCCATCATAATTTGTTCCTAGCTAAATTCATATGAATTTCGAGCCATTGTAGGTCTTTCGAGTCACCTTCCCTCAATAGGATTTTAGAACAACCTCATCCTTTTTACCACCTTCAATCATCATAATGTCACACCTATGGAACGATGAATCTAGTGGTCTATGTAGAATATGGTCAAACCATTTCAAGTGACCTCATCTTTTCACCTCTGCGCATGCTCCTTGCGCCTCTATCGAATGTGATTATTTCTAATCTAGTCAATCTTGTATGGCAGTACATCCATCTTAATATTCACATTTTTGCAACACTTGTCTTGTGGATATGTTGGGCACTGTAGACAAATCATTCACTCCCATGTACAATTGCTAGTTTTCACAACTTTTCATATACTTGCCTTTTGCTTTAATAGGTTTTTTCTATCACCTAGCATCCCATCCTCTATTTCAATCATCTTATTTTAATTCTATGTACTACATTGTTATCAGTCATGCCCATTTTCTTGGAAGACCGAGTCTAGATATCTGAAATTTGACATTTAGGCACCATAATCCCCTCTAATATCACGATTTTTAATCAGTAATTCCTCTAGTCTCACCTTAACCTTTTTTTCTTATGAGGGCTAAACTTGCAGTGCAAGTATATTCTATCTTACTTTCACTTATCTTAACACTTTCCAGATTCAAACTTGGGTTGATTCCCTAGTTAGTTTCATAAATTAACACAATATCATTTTAAATTTCATAAACTTTGGCTTTAAAAATTCAGCAATGTGAAACTGGACGAGAAGGAACAACCCATGCTAATATGAGCCAGCTCAAATCATGCAAATGCAATCCTGATAACACTTGAAAAGTAACAAATTTGTGAAACACCCTAAATCTGCTGATAACCTTGAGACAAGAAAATAACTCCACACAACAGAAAATCCACATACGGCACCTATACAGAAATATTGTTGTTGAATTGTACGTACCGCCTCATCTATAAAGCATAAATAACTAGAGCGGGAATAGTTTTATTTATTTATTTAGGTTAGCAACATGAATGTAAAATATTTCTATTGATGGGTGATAATGAGACTTTCGAGTTCAGGAACTTTGCCAGCTTCGATACCATATTGAATTGTGTGATGTGGCATCTAAAAGCTTAAGTTGCGGGAGAGAAGACAATTTTGTTTATATATTTAGGTTTGTGACAATTCCTAAACAATTAAGACAAGTAAATCGCCATAAGAATAGAAAAAAAAGGAGTCCCTTCTGGACAAAATTCAATACTCCTCATGTGGTCTATAAACCAAGTTTTGCTCTAGCAAAGAAACATATTGTCAGATCTCTATTTAACAGTTATTTTACAAATAAAAATCCTAAGAAAACCATCAATTTTAAGGAAAGAAAATTCTGGGCGCTTAGTCTATGTAAAAGTACTTCATAAAGGGAATCAGAAATAAATGCTGCAGAGAATCACAACAGAGGTGCATAATGGAGGAACAAAACCTAATTCCATCTCTACACATATTTCAGATCTTAAGAAGACTTAAAACAATATGCTATAACAACTAGCATATGCTATCTCAGCAGTGTCTACATGAATGCAGTATTCTGAAGATAAGCTAATCTGAATTTGATAAAAACTTAATTTCACTTGCAGATTAGCCATGAACCAAAAAAGATGAGCGGAAACTTACAATCTGTAATTGTTGTACATATATGGAACACATAGAAGTGACATAAACCAATGCCCTGTTATCAGATAGAGCAAGCAGAGGACTCCTTGTGTAATGAACTCAGGTAAAACAACCCCATTTATACGAGTTGCAGAGTCGTATGGGTTGATATAATCAAACTCTAGATCTGATAAGCACATCAGCTGTAACACATTTCAAATGTCAGAAAATTCACCTTAGCAATAAAAAAGCATATAAGTTCTCTGCAGTTTTCATCATGCTATACTCAGTAGAAGGTACAGCTTTGTCATGCTAACTCAATAGAACATAAACACATGAAAATTCAAAAGTGCAACAGAATTTTAATCAACATTTGCCAAAAAAAAAATCATCTTCAGTAGATTGAGAAATCACGCTAACTAATGAAAAACTACTGCAATACAAATCTCACATTTGCATTATCAAATTAATCAAACACTGAGCTCAGATAAAACCCTAATTTTAAGTCTAGCACAAGCTAAAGGAAACTAAGTGGGCAGTTGTGAAAGTAAAGGGAAAAGAGTAGGATTTAGGAGACAGACCTGAAAAACAACCATGACAAGAAGAGAAATGAGAATGAAGAAGAAGAGGAGCCATGCCCAAACATCTGCCATATTACTAGCTCAGCAAAATCAAAAGGAGGATTTGGTGATTAATTTGGGCCAGGTGCGTGATGCGCCCCCAGTGCTTTCTATTGGAGATTTGATTGTAAGTACTATAGAGGAAGCAACGAATCGGAGCAAAAGGCAAAGATTCCAGTTTTCAACCCGAGGAAACCGATCCACTTTGGAACCGGAGCAGATGGAGCCGGTGTTGGAAAGAAAAAACAATATCATTACAATACTTCTTTAATTTTTTCAGCTACTCCTATTAGATTACAAACTATTGATTTTTTAACCAAACACATTGTTTTCCTTTTAATTTTTTTAGAATTTTTTTTTAAAAAAAAATCTTTAATGCGTTGGAGTGGGAAAAAAATTACTTATTTTTGAAACTAACACTTAACAAATATTAGGTAGTTTCTTTTAAACAAAAAAGTGCCACCTAAAGAACAGATAGAATTGTAACGACTTTGATTTTGATTTGAATCTAAACGGAATGGAGAGTTTCACTAACAAAGGCCCTTTTTATTAAGTTTATGTCCCCAATACTAATTTATTTGACATCAATTGAATCTCTGTAGTCTTTCTTTTAAAGAGAAATTCTCTTTAGTTTACTTTCAATTATTTCTTGGTCTTTAGCGATAAAAGTGATGAAAATTCTTTCAAAAGTATGAAAAAAGAAATCATTAAAAAGACGGAAGTTATTCCCACCTTTGGTTGTTAATGGTAAATAGTAGTAATACTCAGTTTGTATCTAACGAAATTCAGTGATCTAGATGATAAAACAAAGGAAATCCCATTGCTCAAAATTGCTAATACTAAAACACTACCCCTACTCCCACAATATATCCTTCATTCAATGCACCCCCATGTGAAAAAACCTAATGAACTATTACGGAAAAGACATTTAAAAACCAAACCAAAAATAATACTCACCTACAAATAAACAATTCCACTTCTATAAAACCAATCCCAACTTCTACTTTCCCATCATTAGCAAATACTACACAACTGCAAACACAAAACAAAAATGCCTTGCAATCGTCGCTACTCTCAGAACCAGCCACCCCACCACATGAACTCACAACCACACCCTCCAACAACAAACCATCCACTTTTGTTCCATGCGCACTACCTCCACTCCCATGCATGTTCCGGCTAGCTCCCCTACCGCTAGGGAACAACACGATCACTCCCCTACCAAGCTCCACTCCACTCCCTCAACTACTATCCATTACAGGGAAATCAACTCATGGAATCCTCAATACTACCACCCATGAACAACTGGAACGGCCAAAACTTGATCCATAGAACTCCACCTCTAACTCCAGACCAGTGTTTTAAAAGGCATTTTCGGGGCGAGCCCTGGGACGAGGCGCACCAAAAACGTCCCGAGGTGAAGGTGTGGGGCGAAAGTCTCAAGAGGCGTACGCCCAGCAATTCGGGGCGTACGCCTGGGCGTTTGAGACGCGCTTTTTTAGTGATGCGTAATCCCCACAGACTTTTTTAAATTAAAATAAAATTTATTGAATAAGTCCTTTACATGTAATTTCATAGCAGCAAGTTCAAAGTTCAAATTACATGTTAGTAATCCTTTTTGTCCTCCATGTAGAAAATTTTATTCTTTTCGACTCGAGTTAGTTGTGCTTCTAAGTATCGTATAATAAATTATTTTGATTAGTTTTTTGTGGGGATAAAACACATCTATATATATATATATATTTCACATATTTATAGTTTTCTTCAATTTTTATGCAATTTTAACTGTTTATAAATATTTACTGTAATTATATTTTTTTATAAAATATTAAAAATTAAATACCTAAGGGGATTACGCCCCGTGCCTCGGGGATTACGCCTCGCTGAGGCATATGTAAAACGCTTCACCTTACGCCCACGCCTTATAAAACACTGCTCCAAACGTCGAGCCATACACCATGAACGCATCGGAGATACTTCAAGCTTACCAGTCCTTAGTTTACAATCACACAGTTCAGGAGGAGGAACTGCTATCCTTGGGCAACGTGCTGCTGGAATCGAGCAACCAAACACGCCAACAGAACTTCAAATTGCACTCATTCCCACTAAGCATCTTTGCAGACTTGTCGCTCAATCAGATCCTACATGCACTACAGACACCGATCACAGCAGCGCAAATGAAAAACTTGACACTAGAGCAGATAGTGCCGGAAATGGGAGCAACAAGTCAATCGTTCCATTCAATGCCAGGAAATTTCCCACCTCCACAGGTCCCGGAACTGGTGGAAAACCCACAAAACATTCAAGATCAGGTGATGGAGCCAATCATCTTGACGGAGGAATGCCTCACACTAACCTTTCTCGAAAATGCAAAAGAACGAATTCTAATTCATACACCACCAAACATACGCAAGGTATCATTCAACATAAGGTCTTGTGCATGGTCACTGATCTCGTCTAATTTCACTCCTCTATTTGAGGATATGAAAACGGTCGATGCAATAGTAATACCTAACAAGGAGTCGGGGTCGATTTTCCACAGGGAGCTATGAATGAGTCTTAAGGATAAATATTATAGTGTATGAGCTTGAATTATCTCAAATTTCACTTTCATAAACTTGGGTGGTTTCTAGGTCTAATTTAAACTAAGATTACAAACTAAGAATTTAAACTAGGAAATTATTTTTGGTTGTTTTTCAAATGATATAAAAGGCCTAGGGCTATGACCTTCACCTAGATGTTCGTTTAATGGGTTGTAAGCCTTAAAGCTTGTTTTATTGGTCGGGGTGTGTTATAGCTATCAACACTCAAGTACTCACTCGATACCTCTCGGTCAAAGAGTGATTTTGCCCAATTTGACTTTCTCAAGTCCAAATGGGTATTGAACAAATCAGTTGATAATAAGCTCAAGTCGGGTTTTACTATCTCTAGGTTCAACCCTTTAATTGGGCTTATCAATTTCTCGATTGACCCAATTTCTTGCTAGCCAAGTTTTCCTAGACTAAATCTCTTTTTTTCAAGTAGAGACCAAGTCGAATAGGCATGAAATAATATTTGCAACCATTAATTTTTCAAATTAAAGCAAGAACTAGGCTAGATAATCAACACTCAACCATAAACAAGCAATAAATCAAACACCCATTAAGTTCAGACACTAGGGTTGGGTGACAGCCCTAGTGAGAATCTAGCTACTCATGCTTAAATGGGAAGAGAAAGAAGAAAAAGTGATAATTAAATCCATATTGATAATTAAAATGATGAAATCAATGTTCAAAAAGCTCAAAATGGAAAAAACTACTAAAAGGAGTAAAAGAAAACGTCTACTGTAGCTGTTGATGTCAAAACTTGACCTAAAAAAGTGAATCTCTTCTATTTATACAGTGCTGGAATTTTCGAACAAAATGCCCTTTCGGAGGTTCTATGGCCGCACAATTCCATGTGCGGTCCGCACTTTGCTTCAGCTTTACGGGATTGAACTCTTGCGGCCGCACAATTCTGAATCGCGGCCGCAACTCTCTTTCTGCGGTCCGCATATTTTTGAGTGCAGCTGCACATAGCTCTTCTGCGGACCGCACAAATGTAACTGCGGCCGCATAGCTGATCTTCTGCGGCCGCACAATAATTGTGCGGTCCGCACTTCCGTTGAACTTGATATGCATGTTCTCTAAACTTCCGGTCTTGCATTGCTTCTGCGGCCGCACATCTCATGTGCGGACCGCACTTCTCACAGATCTCTGACAAGTTCTTCTGCACAATCTGTGGCCGCAGATGATAATCTGCGGTTCGCACTTTAGAGTTTTTGTGTCTGTTTTTGTCCTTGGTTCAGATTACTCCTTCTTGAGTTTGATTTCATCTTTTAGGCTCATTTTTTACTATTCCTGCAATTAAGCATATTTTATCAGTTTTTGGGAACACAATTAAATGCTTTTGTACTAAAATGAAAGCAAAAAGGTGCCAATAAGTAGTCAAAATCCACACTCATCAACTCCCCCAAACTTAAGTTTTTGCTTGTCCTTAAGCAAATAAGGTAATTCACACCTCCACAAGTTAAGAGCTATTCCAGCTAATAAAAAAATGCATAAATCACACATCAATTGGGACTAACAATTACCCACACACTTATGAATTATTAACAAGGCAATGGGTTGAACTTTTAAGCACAAATAGTTCTAATGTGATACTTGAGCATCAAGAGTTGACTTAATTCATCAAGAAAACTCGCTCTTTTATGCAGGTAATTGTGGATCCCAAACTCCTCCTCTTCTATTCTCCGTTTGCTTATCTCACTTAGGCATGTAGCACTCAATTCAAAGATTTGTGAAAGGTTCGCTCATCTCTCTCAAAAGAATGTCACAAGTACGTCTTTAAGTATCATAGGCTTGCCCCTCATGTAAATTACCACTAATGTAAGCTCGCACGGCTTGAAATCACATAGGGGTTTTTCGAAATGCAATGGAGGCTTTTAGACTAAGGTTGGATATGTTATGATAGAACGGGTTCATCTTTCCTTAAGCACTCCATTTTTTCTTATCGGCTCATGCTTTGCCAACTTTTTGAGGTATTTTCTTTTTCATAGGGGGATTGGAGAGACTTAGCTTCACTCCTTCTTAGTTATGATATTCATTTTCTCCTTCTTTGTTTTCTCCATGCCTTGCATCATTACTATTCTTTGAAATCCCTTCAACTCTTCAACTTATTCACTTTCTTTTTGCATTTTCCTTTTTGTTCTTCTTTCTTTTTCTTGCCTTTTCATCTCTTCATTTATTTTCTCTTTTTGTGCCTTGATACCTTTTTCAAACTCCTCGTCTCTCCCCCAAACTTATGTTTTTAGCCAACTATTTCACAAGAGTGTTAAGGAAAGCTCGGGTGCCAAGAGAGGGTCACAACAGAACTCGTAAAGGCTTGTAACATGGTGATCAAATGAGAAGGGTTTTAGGCTCAAATGGGTTGACTAGGGATAACAACATTGGTGGGCCATGGAAAATTTCAAGCGGGTCAAGGAGAGCCTACAATCACTTCTCAAGCCAAGCAAAACTTAAAATTTCGCCTAGAAACACATTCGTGGCAAGTTCTAGACCATTTGCACGGGTGCTTGGACTTGCAACAAAAACATCTCACCTCTCACGCAGCTGGCTTGTTAAAAAGGATAGAGTCGAGGGTCCACAATGACCATAATCAAGATTTGATAATCACTATGGCTCGGCTAAACCCCTCGATGATTGCCTAAGTCAACACAAGAGTCAC